TCCTGCCCTCTCCGAGGTGTCCCCAATGGCCACGAGCTCTTGGCCCACCACCAGGCCGGTGCCTCTGCGCTGGCAGCCTGGGCTGGTGGGAGGTGTCCCTGCCCATGGCAGGGGGTGGCACTGGATGATCTTTAAGGTCCCTTCCAACCCAAACCAGTCTGGGATTCTATGGTTCTATAAACCCACTCATATTTAGCAGCGGGGACGGAGGGTCTGGCCAATTAATCTGCCCTCAGGAGCGTGAGCAGGTTCCTACAGAGTTTTCCAAATACATGGAAGTTGGAGGGAAACAGGCTAAACGCCCCAGGGGTTTGCTACAAATAGACTGGACCCACCTTGTTCTCATCAGCAATGTGCTAAAGCAGAAGTGGGGCAGAGCAGCTCAGGGGGTCACGGCGTAGCTGGTTAAACTGGATAAATCCCAGTTGGCTGGCGGGGTGGCCAGCAGGCCAGGGAAATACCAGTTTGGTGCTGGGGAGGTTCCAGATCCATCTCACAACCAATCCTGTCTGCGTTCACTAGTGACAGTCACATGTAATAGGACGAGTGAGCACTACTGGTGCTCACTGGCAAAGCTGGGACGCAATATTTGTGCAGAAGGAGAATGAAAACCACCCAAATTGGAGCAGGAAAAGCTGTTCACTGCTGACAGCTTGTGGATGGACCCATCAGCCACAGGATGGCCAAAACACTGGCATGAGAAAGGCGAGAGATGTCGGGCAAGGTGTCACCTGCACACAGGGATGCCACGACGCCAGCACCAAGATCCCTCCTGGAGCAGCACCCACCCCCAGACCCCTGTGCTGAGCTGAATTCAGAGTGGGAGCACTGCCCGTCACCCCGGGGAAAGAAACCGTCTCAGGACCGAGAGAACTCGGCTTGTTTAGCCAACTCGAGGCTGGCTGCTTCCTACCGACAAACACATCCAGGAATACTCCCCAGGTGGGGAGCTGGTCACGTCGGGACAATGTTGGCGAAAGAGAGGAGGCAAAAAGTGGCCCAGAACCAGCTGAGGCTGCAGATCAGAAGGTTTCCCATCAGAGCAGCAATGTTTTGTAGCAGCCAACATGCAGGAAGCCCCAGTTTCAATGTGCTTGACCAAGCCAGGAAGGCTACGGCTTCTTGTGAGTCAAGAAGGAGGGGCTGTGGAACCAACCGGCACATCCCGACCCCTTTCCGTGGGGACCAGCCGAGGTACGGACACTGGAGAGAGGAGGCAGCTGCAGCAACAGGTCGCTTCTCAACTATTTTAAGGCTGGCAACGCATCAGCTGCACCCTGAGATACTCCCCTCGTGCTTTGCCCCCTCCAAGGAAGACAGAGTGTCCCGGCGAGCCGGTTTTTTTCTTCGGCAAATCCCGAGCTGAGCACACGCACCACGGGAGCCACTCGCTCGCTTTTCGTTCAAGAAATAATTATTTGCATTAGAGACTTCAGAGTGCCTCACGCAAACACCGCAGATTCCAAAGATAACCGTGGGCACAGTCAATGACAGTTAAAGTCACTTACTTGTCGAGGTCCTCGCGCGC